TTAAACTAAAATCAATCAAAAGAGATGAAGGAGGTCACTTTATTACTCATCACAGGAAAAATCTATTAGGTTAAAGTCTCAATTCTGAATGTTTATGCCCCAAATACAAAGGCAGCCAGGTTCATAAAAGAAAAAATACTAAAACTCAAATCACACATAAAACCACATACACTTATAGTGGGAGACTTCAACAACCCTACTCTTACCACTGGATAGGAACACCAGATAGAAACTTAACAAATAAACAAAGGAACTAATCAAAGTTATGGTCCAATTGAACTTAACAGATATCTATAGAACATTCCATCCAAATACAAAACATTTTACCTTCTTCTCAGCACCACATGGAACCTTCTCTAAAATCGACCACATACTTGGCAACATAGCAAACCTCAATAGGTACAAAAAATTGAAATAACTCCCTGCATCTTATCAGACCACCATGCTTTAAAGTTAGAATTCAACAATACGAATTACAGAAAACCTACAAACTCATGGAAATAAAGTAATATCCAATTGCACAATTTCCGGTTTGAGGAAAAAATAAAAATAAATTAAAGATTTCCTAGAATTCAATGAGAATGCTGACACAACATACCCAAACCTTTGGAACATTTTGAAAGCAGTGCTAAGAGTAAAGTTCATAGCGCTAAGTGCCCACATGAAGAAACAGGAGAATAATCACATTAGAGAAATAACAGCACAACTGAAATTTAGAACACAAAGAAGCCAATACACCCCTGAGGAGCAGAGACCAGGAAATAATCAAACTGAGTGCTTTGCTTTCAGTGTTCCATCTTTAAATTTAAGGGAGCCTTATAAGAGATACCTTATACCTTATAAGCCTTATAAGAGATACCTTATAAGAGATAAGTGGGTAGTTTTGCCTCAAGGCATGGCTAATAGCCCTACCATGTGTCAAGTTTATGTTTCTCAGGCTATAGAGCCAGTCAGACCAAAAAATCCTCAATTGTATATAATTCATTATATGTACTGCACCAAAAGAAAAGCTACTGCTATCTGCCTTTGGGGATCTTCAGACCACCTTAGGATTGGCTGGCTTA